AACTTGAAAATGGCCCAAACCGCTGGGAGAATGTTACAAGATTTCTGAGAAAAACCGGAAATGTCATGTACTTTTTACTATTTATTTATTCATTTATTTTATTTTACAATTTTGAGAAACGATTTTTGAGCTGAGCATAACATAACCTTTTCAAAAGCTTAAAACAGACGAAAAACCAATCAAATATACGCTCAAGCCATAATTCATATACCAAAGTCCTCCACAAAGTTTTAATTTCAACAACGTCTGATGTCTCTAACCTAAAGAAATCGTTATCTTTGAGGCCATTATAATTATGACGTAATCTTTCCAAGAAAGGGACAAAATCCCCTGTAACACATTATAATGACCTAGTTTCCTAGAGGGCGATTATTTTACCGCTGAGTGATTTCCACTACAAATCTTCGTGTTCGATGAACAAGAGCTGTCTTAAAGATGCAAAGAACCTCGGAATGTGAGTTGACGATGCACAAACCAAAATTATTGTGACCGACCACTATATGAGCTCATGAAGTCGAAAACAGAATTAAAAGTCGCTCAAGCAAACATTCTTAATATTAAATGGACCATATCATATTTTTGAAGGTGAAAATGAGACCTCAGTGATTCGTCCCATTTTTGACTAAATACAATAATGGAGTTCAAGTCTTGATTTTCTTCAAACCTGGCACCCTCTAATACGATGATATTAAGAAGTCGACGACTTTCCAGTATTCTCGGAATTCTTCTGCAAATTTCAGCTCGGTTATGATAAAAAATAAAATATTTCAAGCGCTTGAAGCTCTCTATGATTCGGATAACTTCAAATCAACTGCTGAATAAAATTCTGCTTTTCTACTAATTGCCAATACATGAACTGAAACCACGTTTCATTACTTTGCATTTTATATCTGTCATCACCTGCCTCTCTCATCTATTTGACGTTCCTTCCTGAAGCATGTGCTTATTTAATTATTTAGTTGTTGACTATAATTATCGTTCAACAGACGATCAAGAGGGAGGTGAACTTTTCCTCTCCTCTCCTGTTACATTCATCGCTGTGGTAGCAATTGACTTTGGCACAACGTTTAATGGGTTTGCATTTGCGTTCAATAACAAAGAGGGAGAAAAAAGTATTCACATGAATAAAGAATGGAGAAGTGACCAAGGCTACTCCACTATGAAGACACCTACATGTATGTTGCTCAATCCAGACCAGAGTTTCAGTTCGTTTGGCCATGAAGCCAAAGATAAATTTGCTGATTTGAGGGAAGAAGAGGCTCGACAATATTTTTACTTTGATTGCTTTAAAATGACTCTTCATAACAATAGGTTTATACTTTTTTTAGAAATATTCATAGAAAGATATTTCTCATGTTGTTTAGGTGATTAATTCCGAACCGAAACTTGCTGCAAACATAGAACTGATAAACTTTCGAAATAAACGTGGTTTTTCTCCTTACAGAGCTTGAATATAAAGACCACTGTAGAGGCAGGAAATGGCAAGCACATGAGGGCTTTGGATGTTTTTAAATATTCCATACCATATCTTTCAAAGATATTGTACACGGGCACTTGAGGTGATTAATATGGAAAGCAATATGGAAACCAGCGACAAAACAATTCATGAGAGAGGCTACTTATCAAGTGAGCTGCTATGGTATACACATTTTACCGTGATGTACTTCTTTCCTACGGCCATTTTCTGCAAGATGTCTCCGTAACATCATCTTCATTGACTATACTGACATCCTGTATTTGTACTTTTATCTCAGGCAGGGCTGGCACATCCCTCAAACCCAGAGCAGATACTGATCGCTTTGGAGCCAGAGGCGGCCTCCGTCTACTATAGAGAGCAAAAGGTGAGAGAGTTTGTTGCTGAGAGTGGTAGTAACGATGCCTCAGTTGAGGACACCATTGCCCGACCAGAAACACAGTACATGGTAATTGACATTGAAGGTAAACTCAATTTTCCTAGTAGCAGATTGTTCCACTCGAAACTCTAGACGTGAACAAAGACATCGACCTTGTGCGGTTTAATGCTTTATTTTATTTATGTTAATTTTTTATTTTTGTCTATTTGCCGCGATGATCAGCAGAGTAAACAGAAAGTATAAATCTCGAGACAGAAATAGTCAACACATGTAAAGCTAGACACCCCGTTTTTTAAGTGATCAATTTTTTATCATTTTCATGTAAGGTTTTCTGTTTAATAAATGTGCAGGGCCCAGTTATATAAAGTTCGAATAATGCTATGCAACGGATAAATTACTATCCGGTGGTGGATAAGTGACAGTAAAACGTATAGCGTTATCCACCACATCAGTCCCTCACCATGATGATTTTCGAACCGCTAGCCCAAAGTTTCCAGTCTGCCAGATTTTACGCCGGTGCACCGCTCATAATCGAAACACGAACAGTTACAGTATTATCATCGATCACTAGTAACGCAAAGTGTTAGCCGAACGGGCTATGTAGATAATCTAAATGATATCTGAATAACTCAGATAACTGATCTTGCTGGTCATATATTTAAGTATGTTTTATGAAATTCCACAGGACACATTAATAGAAAAGTATCCTTGAAAAGAATAGCAATAACGGTTAAGAGGAAGAGTGAGTTAAAAACTTCCTGCTTACAAGGAGTAAATATGGAACTAAAACAAAACCGGAAAGAAAAAGTCATTGCCTTAACAAAATAGATAAAAGTCCCTTCTTATCAACACTAAAAAGCAGTTTGTTGTGGCTGATGTGAATTAAATAATATTCACCATCCTATGATACTCATCGCGAAAGATTATACTCAGTCGGGAGAATAGAATATACTACTGATTTTCTCTTAGCTCGGATGTTATTCCAAGAATTCGCGTAAGCTTAGGTCAACTTACTCTTTTCTTGCATCCACCGATGGGAAATTGATTTTAGTCACCGAAAACTTGGCTGTTTTCCGAGAAAATGCACACTATCACAGGGATAATGGAATATATTATTTTCTCTTAGCTTGAGTGCTTTTCCAGGAATTCTAGGAAGTTTACGTCAACTTGACCTTTTCCTGAACCCACCAATAGGAAATTGATCCTTAGCACTGATAACTCGGCTGTTTCCGAGAAAAAGCACACTATCACAGGGATGTTTCACGAAGTTGTGTATTGATTCTTCTGAGGAGAATTTTGCTGGAATTTAGCTTCGATAGTGAAGGGAACAATTTAACAGATAACTTGTGAAGGGATCCTTTTAGCAAGGTGGTTAGCCACAGGAATGGCTTACAAAGGTAAGATCGCTAGATCGCTCAGGCTCAAAGCCAATATTCCTGAAATCAAATCCTTCAATGTTTCGTTTCACGGAAAGCCAGAATGTCCGGTCTTAAATCAAGTAGATAGAATCTTACATAAAATGTTATTGTGGATAATGATCTAAAATGCGAATGGAGACCGGTATCTGCTGAACTCGCGAGGTCTTGGCCGATTTCAACAAGTATCCTCGATCTCTTTCATAATAATCTATTTTTAAACTTTTCATTTGTCTGTTCATTTTTACGTCCAAGAATTATTTCACTTGCTTAGTGGCTTTCACTTTTTTTACTAGTCTATTTTTCATCATTATTTCATTTAAAAAAAGATTCTGACAAGAAAGCCTCTGACAAGTTAGCCCGTTTAAAAACCTATAGTCGCTGACGCTGTCACACTCGTTAATTCAATGACAAGTAAACAAGGTAATTTCGCAACGCCAGATCGCTTCGATCGCCCAGAGAGATCTTACTTATTCGAGAAATTCATATTTTAAAACGCTGTGAATCCAACTGATCCTCTTCCTCGCCACATCACCTTTGAAGATCGAGACTTTCCAAACTATTATTATGACATCAGACTCAAGCAAAAACTTCAAATAACATTATTTCTTCAATCCTGCTCAGTCTGCATCGAGTGCACCCGGCAGCTTCCATGAAAACGCCGGAAGACACCAAAAATTTGAAGTTAATCGTTGAAAAGATCCTTGTACAGTTTTACTATCGCATTGATGAAATTTATTCATTCATTTGACGTTGATATTGAACAAAGTTTGCCGTTAGTTCGCACTTTCTACGCCATTTCTACGAAGAAACGCGTTGTGCCAGGCAGATTTCAGGCATTTGAAAAACTCTCGACAAAAGATCTGGAGTTACCGACAGGACTTTGTATCACAGTTCCTTGCTGAAAACCTTTGTATACTTGACCTGTTTTTTCATGTAATTTGGCATTATAGTGAGTTATGGGTGTTAATAGAATATTTTGAACTTTTGACGACTCAAAGTCCAATTTTTATTGAAAGCAGTTAAGATGTTCTCTCTTGTTTTTCTCGGTCTGTACTGTAAGCTATTGGCTATAAAACTCGTTCTGTAACTTACAATACGGTTCTCGAACTCGGTTAGTAAGAGGCAAAATTGTCGTTTTAATTTCTTACAGCACTGGAAGACTCACTCCTTTATACTTCAAGGCGTTCGTATCTGGCAGTTGTTGCCATTGATTTTGGAACAACCTACAGTGGATTTGCTTTTTCATTCATCAAAGATGAGGGAAAGGACGCCATCTTCATGAACAGAGACTGGGCGAATGAACAAGGCGCTCAAACGAGCAAAACCCCGACATGCTTGCTACTCAAAACAGATCTGTCATTTGACTCATTTGGTTATGACGCGATGGAAAAATACAGCAATCTTCAAGATGAAAGAGAAGAGAAAGATTATCTCTTTTTCAAACATTTTAAAATGACTCTTCACAATGAGGAGGTAAGAATGAGCTCCACTGATCAGTTTCAAATAAAAATTATCAAAGACATAGACGGCACTTTCAATTGATTTTAGGCGTAATTACCTACGCAGGATGTTGGGAAAACATGAGAAAAGTTTGTAAATCACAAGCTGGATGCCAGTCTATTTCCACTGCTTTCATAAATATGATATAATTTAATTTTCTTTTGGTTAGCCAGCGCAATAAACGGTTTTTGACGAACCAGGGTGCCTGTAGTATCTCGGTGATACTTTTCACGTTCTAGAACAGAAGAGCGAGCAGACAAAAATAGCTTTGTCTTAACTTCCAGCCTTACCCCAACCGTCCGGCCCGATAGTTGTTACTTGAAAGAATTATGTTTTTCTTTTTTTTAATTATTTTTTTAAATTAAATATTAAACATATCGTATTATCTTATTTATTCTGACAAACACGTTTACAAAATGCTTATTAATGCCAGCGTAAGAAGCGCTGGCTCGACCTTAGCCCTGACTATAAGTCCACCATAGCTGTCAGGTTCAACCGTAAACTCGCTCATCTTGAAGGATTTTGTCATGGCGAAAGCATTGGTATAAAATTTCAATTCCGTCATCTTTAATCGTATCATACGCGTCAATCTTCGTCATCCTTAAATATTTTGGTTCCTTTGAAGTTTCTTAGAATCTCTTCTTTGTTGAGGCGATTGCAAAAAGATATGACGACATATTTTCCCTTAAACGCTGGGTTCATTCTCTCCTAGAGTCTTGACAGTAAGACTCTAATAGAAGCAGCCAACGGACAACCTGTCAAGGCCAAGACAGTGTTTACAAGGTCCATTACATTTCTCAAAGACGAAGCCATCAAAGTAATTTGTCAGCGGACTGGAGATGATCATTTCAGTCCAGACGATGTCCAATGGGTTCTAACTGTTCCGGCAATATGGACTCCAGGCGCAAAGCAGTTTATGAGAGAAGCAGCTTATCAGGTAATGTTAAAATATCATGTTTTATCCAGTTCGAAATGAATGCCTCCAAATCTTGAATCTGGGTGTGCCCACAACTTTATATGAAGTCTGTTTAGGTGTGCTAATCTTATGGCAAACATAGTCGTAACATTTAATAGTGCATGCTTGTTTTTTATCGACTTTACGACATCTTTCAGGTTTGTATTTAGGTTTGCTATCTAAATTAAAAAGTCTGTCTTTTTTCAAAGGCTGGTGTGGGATCACCAGAGAATCCTGATCAACTGATGATCGCTTTGGAGCCAGAAGCAGCTGCAATTTTCTGTCAAGAGAAAAATTTGAGTGATTTTCAGGCGGAAGTCGGCAGTAGACCTGTGGATGGCATATTATCACAAATTAATACACACTACGTTGTCGTGGACATTGGAGGTATGTAACTCAAGTTAACAAGCTAAGAACATAGTAATAAACGTGTAACATTATTGTTTATTGTTTATTCTTTTTGAACTAACAGATTAAGAACACGAAGCAAATAAAATGCAGAGATTCCATTACTTGACTGCTATATTATATCGTCATCCTCTATGGTAGTTAAGGAAAGGGTTTTTTAAGACTCTTAAACCATCTACACTGCTCTGCCCCCTGCCCCATAAGACAATTTTCATAAAGATCGCACAAGCTTAATTCAACTCTGAATAAGCTAAATACGTGGTCTTAAACATCATTCAGGGAAACATTTACTTACATTATGATTGCGCAGAAGTATCATATACCGACATTCCCATCCTTGAAGTGTGTAGTAGGTAGAAAGTTCGAAGCACTAATCAGAAGGTCGTCAGTTCGACGCCGAGTGGAAGCACCCTAAGCTGTTTTTTTTTTTCCGAATATTTCTTTGCCATTCACTGAATAACAGTTTTCTTCACACCAAGCTTAAAAATTATACATCATTAAGCGAAGCAATGCTGTTGATTATCAACAAGCCAAATGGTTCGGAGTAATACCCCTATGAATAAGGGTTGCGAATTTCCAACCGCGAACGTAAAAAAACCTATAACAAAACGTTTCTTAGCTTTGGAATACACGAAAACTTAAAATAGGAACTATAGGTATTTAATATTGCCAGCGCCTCACATTTTGCGGATACTGCACAAACTGTGACCACCGCATGGGCAAAAAGGCTTGTAGAGTCTTTTAAGACTCTACAAGGACTTGAGAGTCCTATCCAAACTCTACTACTGTTTTTCGGTTTATTCACCCTTGCCAGTCAACCTACCAGAACACCTTCGAAAGGTCCAAATCAACCGAAACAAGTTTTGTCCACAGAATATTGAGCAAGTACTCGCCTCAGGCTCAGTAAATATCATGATGAATGATTTCCGAGACGACGTCGTGGGGATTATTCAACAATATTCACTCAGCCTGAGGCGAATAATTGCTCAGTTGCTTTCGAATTCTGCAGTAAATTCGTTTTAATGTTAAAACCATCCTGTTACAATTGTCTTCGCTATTCGTATCAAGATAAGCAGCCAGTTTACGCTAGAATTTAGTAGGCTCATTTGATTCAAAGTTCCCGTATTTCTTTTGAAAAGTGTTACACCAAACTTAGTAGCATCTTTTGTGGTCTTTAGAGTTGTATTTTCTTTCATCGCATGCATCATTTTCCGCAGAGCACTGATAAAACAGGAGGCAGCCATTGAAAAATTTAGCATCCCTACCTTAATCACCTCACGCGAGTGATTCTAGAGAGATATGACGCAATACTCGACCAGTCAGAGCGCGCGCATCTCTATAATCACCTGTGCAATTATGCAAGACTCATATAAAAAGCATGAGTGACTTTTTTGATTAAAGATGGCCTCCAATAAGTGAAAAGAGAGACTTTTCTCGACTCAAATTAACCTTTAATCGCTGCACGACCCTTCTTTGCCATTCTGTTTGTCGTTACTCAATGTCAGTGTTATCGGATAATTATATTATCCCTGTGGAAAAGGGAACTTTTTACGACGCCACTGACACTTTATTTACTAATTTGTTTGGTAACATTAAATCCAGTGGTGATTATTGAAATTTTAGTAGTAAATAGGTAATCTCGTAGGCTTTTTTTTGATCATTGATGTTAGCTATGTTAATATTATTATTATTACTATTATCATCATCGGTTGGAACCAACCCCTTTTTTAAATACAACTCTTGTTTCAAGGGGTATTAATCCTTACAGTAAATACACTAGGAATCACCAAGAAACGTATTGACTGTCCCGAGAAGTCAATGATGCATTTGCGATGTCGATTAATCGAAAAAAGATTAACCAGGATATGCAGGGTAGGATATAAAGTATATATCAGCTGACTTTCCATTTCATCATTTATCTCAGGGGGGACACTAGACGTGACAGTGCACGAAATACAAGATGATGGTAACATTAAAGAGATCCACAAGGTCACAGGGGGACCTTATGGTGGAATGTACGTCAACCAGCAGTTTGAAACTCTCCTGGAAGAGTGGTTTGGTGTACAAAGAATTCAAAAGTTCAAAGAGCAGCATCCATCTGATTGGCTGTCGTTAATGAACGAGTTTGAAGGAAAAAAACGTGGGAAGCGCATTTTAGACGACAGTTTGATGACAAACATCCGCCTACCAAGGAGCTTTGTATCCATGTTAAATGAAACTCAAAGTTCAGTGATGGACAGCTATGGAACTAAGGACGTAAGACTGAAAAATAAAGAGTACCTTTGCCTAAGTTCAGGAATGATGAAGAAATTGTTTAACCCTGTCGTGGAGAGAATTAAACAACATTTAAAAACTTTGATAAAAAAACCGCAACTATCAAAGGTGCAAACCATGCTCCTTGTTGGCGGCTTTGCCGATTCTGCTTTCCTACAGCAGGAATTAAAAACGGAGTTCGCAAGAAGGCTCAGGATACTTATTCCTCATTATACAACCATAGCAGTTGTTCAAGGAGCTGTAATCTTTGGCAAAAAACCTACGAAAATATCCGAAAGAGTCGTCTCCACAACTTTTGGCGCCGATCGTTCGGTAGATTTTATCGAAGGGATTCATCCTGAAGAAAAGAAATTTATTGCAGATGGAATTGAAAAGTGCGGTCAAGTTTTTAAATGCTTTGTAAAGGAAAACAGCGTAATAAAGCTCGGACAGCGAATTACAAAATCATATCACCCTGTGCGAGCTAATGCGACAAGCCTGAAATTTGGATTCTACGTCACAAGCAATCCCAAAGCACAGTTTGTTACTGACCCCGAGGTAACAAAGATTGGAAGTGTCAAAGTTCAGTCCCCAGATACATGGAGAGGTAAAGATAGAAAAATAGAAGTCAGTATGTATTTCGGAGGAACTGAAATAACCGCCACTGCCTCTGATATTTCAAGTGGAAACAGCGCCCAAACCACATTGGACTTTTTCTGTCGATCATAAACGTGTTTTTTTTTCTGTTGTATATCAGACAGAGATTCAAAACAGATCTAATACAATAATCAGACCATGATCATAACCTTAGCATTTATTTTCAAAAAACGAATTCCATAGACGTGCACTCCCTGAGTAATCACTCACGAAGTCTGTTCTGAGAAGCAATGTGATTTACCTTGTGAGACTTTTCAATAATTGTCTGACTCCTAAAAGCAGTCAATCGCTTCAATAGTTTATCATAGTAAGCATCAATAACAATAAAACAATCCCAATGCTAGTGATTGTAGAGTCTTCCTTTATTTGAAGGTAAATGTCATATGATGTGCAAGAGGGAAAGAAGACAAGTGCCTAGTCAGCATAAGTGCAATGTTCAAAAAAGTTGTTTAGACATATTTTAATTGATAACTCTCTAAGCGCCCGTGATTTGCATACCAAACCAGTCATAATTACTCAGTGATCTGTAGCTATTATACCAATATTTTTTGTTGTGAAAGCGCGCGTTATTTTTTTATAAAAATCTTAAAGGAATTTTTTTTGTTATGATAAGCTACCAACAATTAACAAAACTTAGTGTTACTCACAATATCAGAATTTATATTTCTTACAAAATTAGAAGATATATTGTAGTTTAAATTTGAACTCAATAACCCAATATTCAATCATTTACTCAAGAAAAATTGCGAGGAAAGCTTTTGCCTTTAAGATAGATGTTGAATTATGGATAGTTAACCAAAGAAAATCTTTATTATATCTTTAGTTTGACCATCCAAACTCTAAAAGAAGTTTTAACTACTAAATATATAAGCAATTTAGTTTCTGAGCAAATGCTCTCATTTAACATCAGTAGGGAAAATGTCCATGTGAAGACATTTTAATGTTTTGACTTGTAGACGAAATAAAATAGTGCGTGCAAATACATTAAACAAATAGAATACTCATTGTATCGCCTGCATTCTATTTAAAAAGAATTGCTGGCTGCATCGCCACGCAGTTCTCAAACTAAAGTTGTATTAATAGTAGTACATTTATCCCCAGTACTGCCACCAGGTTTCAAATCGATACTACTTGCATCTGTAATCATTTATTTTTCAGACTTCCTTCTTTCTATAGTAACGTCACAGGTAACACTTGAAATAAGAGGTCGTTTTATGTGAGAAAACCCACTTATTTCGATCATGAATCGACCTAATTCATGCCCCTCATTTACATTTAGAGCATGGCAAAACTGAAACATATTTAACAGGATTTTCAACATTAAAGCAGTTTCCAAAATGCACATAGGTTTTTGCTTTAGTTGGTGGACGTAAAAAATTAAAGAGAAGCTTACTCAGTATTCACTTTTATCTACACAAGACTTCTCCTTTGTGAATACATCTTCCTTCCCCATCAAACAGTCCCGGCCAAAGATAACACGCTATCTCCTCTTCCTGATGTTGGTCAGGGGTTCCTTTCACCAACGTACGTACCTCAGGACTCGTATGATAACCTATCTTTTTATGGCACTGTTGTAGGTACAAGGATTGATACTCTAGCTTCAGTGGTGGTGTCTGGGTAACCATTCTCCAAGTCAGCCAGATACTTGCTTTTTTGTACTCCTGGAATAGTGGTTTATGAAGCTGACTCAATGCGTGTGAAAGTCGGCTGTTTCTCACCAATTTCTCCTCTTCTTGCCACCTTTTCCACCTCTCCTTAACGACTTGAATAACATCCTAAAATTTTCCGTACTGATTATTTTAAAGTTAGGAGTATAAACGTTCGCAAGTTATCTTTAAAATCAAATTGCAAAATAATCTCTCACGAAAGAAACGATACATGTGATCAAAAATTGAGAAAGTCGACAACGTCGACAACAGTAAAAGCGATGTATATGTAAACATTACGCGCTTTTGATTGGCTGAAAACGAGCGCATTTTTCATTTCACACGAGTGCAAAGTTGTAACACGGGTGAAAATTACAAATAGCGTGCACTGTCAAAATCTCCTCTGCTTGACTTTCTAAGATGCTTTTTTCATGCAAATTATTAACAAAAAATGGCACTCGATATCATGTTGTAACCAATACTGAAATCGCGAACAATTTTTTTTTTCAGACCTGACATCGAAAGTCATCCTTCTTTCCCTTTTTCCGTGGAGAATGATGCACAAGACAAAATGTAGAGAGGAAAGGGCAGGAAAAGTACGATGTATTGGCTTGGTTTGAAAATAAAATTGCGACTATAAGCTCGTCTCGTACCTAAGTACTGTTTTTAATTGGAAGATGTTCGAAAAAAAACAATCCTAGGTTTCCAAGTAATATTCAAATTATTGTGAAGTCAATATAGTGATTAACTCTAAGTTACTGAGTTTTGTTTTTTATTCATTTATTTCCTGTATGCGTTTGATCCAAAAAACTGAACCACAACTCAGTTTCTTCATGACGCCTTTGAAAAATTATCATCAGAAAAAAAAAGTCATTAGATACGATTGTGACTGATGTTCTCATATGAAATCAAGTAGCAGCATAACAATTAGCACAACTCGTTAGAAATCTGAATAAAGATTAAGTCACCGTCAACAGAAAAGGGTGCTCTCCGGAAAAAGCCTTTGCCTTACCACGAACATCCCAACAAACTGGATTGTATCACACAGCAGATAAAAGGGTAAAAACGGTGTGAGGCGTTTCCGATATTCCTATTGGTTCGCGAGAAAATATATTTTAAAGTTGAACAATATAAAATTGTGTAGTCACGCGCCGGGAATTCACAGGAAAGATATATTGATTCGTTACGGCCTCGCATATTTTTGTGCATTAATATCTGGCAAATATCCTGGCTAAGTCTCATCAAGATTCGACAAAAATACATACCCTATTAATTCGTTTAAGTATAGGTAACTCGAGTAAAAGCAAGTTTTCGGCCTCCAAAGAAATTCCCAGTTTTTGCACCTCATTTAAGCGCGTGTCGAAGCGGTCATGACGCCAACTAAGGAAAGGCAACATTGAACTCCCTTGTCGAGTGCCTTGAGAAAGAAGCTATTGAAATTCGTGGGAAAGGTCATCTCTCGCGACCTCACCGGAGAAAACGAATGGAAATAAAAGCAAGAAAAGCAATCAAGAAAAGCAGTTTGTAAGATCAGACATTTTTGCTTCTTTTGTGCGGTGCAATGCGTGATGTAAACGAAATATGCAAATCGAGATCCACCACACTATTCATCCCCACCCCGAAGATTTACTGCTCAACCATAAAACCTTCAAAAATTGTATGGACAAGTAATGTTTATAACCAAGATACGCACTGAGAGGCTGAGTCAAATCATTTACGAACTATTATAGAATCATGGGGTTCCATGTTTCCTTGTTCCCAACAAAATTTCCCTTGTGTTCCAGTGTTCCCTGAAAGTATTTCGTTGATTTTGGTTTTCCCTGTTCCCCAAGTAACGCTTTTGTTCCCGTGTTCCCAGTTTTATTTTCCCTTTGTTCCTATGTTACTAAAAAGTTAAATGGTCATGTTCCCTTGATCCCTAAAACCCCTGAGAGGGGCTTACCCTCGGGCTGTAAAAACACGAGTATTCGAACGCTGTCAACAGGGTCTTTTTCTTTTACACCAGTTTGGAAAAGGAAGTTATAGGACACTTTTTGAAACTATTCATACTATTCTGTATTCTAATTTAGGCTTATAATTCCTGTGCTTGTGGCGAAAATATTCCTGGGTACGGACATGTTTCAAAGATAATATCACTAATTAAGTTGACCACAATCTGCGACGAAAGTTAAAAATTGAAAGAGTTGTGACCATTGATTTTTATTGATATCAATTTAATTGATTAAATTGATTGCTTTTTGATGATCAGTGCATACGTGTTGAGTTAAGAGAAAATTCTAACATGCCAAGTTACTTTTATCCCAGACGCTAGTGGTTCATGACTTGGTGTACTTAATGGACCTTTATCTTTTTATCTAGGAGAATGGAGGAGGAACAATATGATACCAGCAATGGCTTTGGCTGGCCAGTCTCCTTAAAAGTTTACAAACTTGGTGACAATATCTTATTCAACATTCAAGCTGTTATCAACTACCTGGGGCTTGAAAATCAGGTCAAGAATCATGGCTTTAAATTTATTTAAATTTAAGTTCTTTGTTGAAAATGGTGAGTAAATATGCATTAAATAAACTGAGTTATAAATATGGAAAAGGATATTTTTGAAACAGTGTTGGGCTGAACAGTTTTTGAAATTAAACTCATTTATTTCCAAATTTTAGCTATAATCTCCGGCATACATACATGTATTTGTTTGAGAATTATGAAGCTGAAATTTATTTGGCCAGTTATTTTGACCAGTAAGTATATCTCCATAATTTTCAGTCCTGTGTAATGTAAAAATAAGTTTCCTCATTGTTTTCCATAATCTTATAAATCTATGATATTTTTGTATTCAACAAGAACAAGCGGATTAAGGAATATATCAGCTATGCTTCGTTTGTGATGCTAGTCATCAGATACCCTGGAGCGGAAAAGAAGACCAAGGAAGTAAGAAAATTCCTTTTTTACGGCCGATCTTACTTCCACCTTCGGCTTCTCCTAAAGTTAACCTTCCTCAAACGCCAACCCCAGACACGGATACTTACCCATCACAGACTCCACTTTCATGTCCTGATTCTCAACCGCTGCCGACTTCTGCAGGATCTCCCACAACACCTGTGACTCCATCAAGTCGGTTTCAATCAGCAAAGCAGTTGGTGGATGATCCAATGAAAGAGGACCCTAAGAGCTGGCAAGATACTAACGTATCAATTAAATGAAAAAGAATCCTAAAAAATTCACGAAATACTTATGTAAAAATCGAATGAAAGAGAGTTCTAAAAGTGCGTGAGATACTGACGTAACAATCCAATTAGCTGTCAGCCGTCAAAGTAAGAAAAAATAACCGTCAACTATCAAAACTACCCTGTCTCAATGAGACCCTCTTACAAATGAAGATGGCATTCATAGTATCGCAACATGCTTTGCAAATTAAAAAGTCTTTTGTTTTAAGTAGATTGTAATTCCTTTCGTTTTCAATCTATTTTATTTTTGTGTCTTATTAACATTTTAACAAAGATACACCTCTCTGAACATTTGCTTCGTTATCAATTCAAGTCTGCTCCAAAAAGCTAAAAAAATATCGGGATTTCAGATGCAAATAAGATCAATTTACTGTGGTAATAATAATAAGCTAGCTACCTACTTGATATTTCTATTAGAATAGGACAAAAAATGCTGACCTCAGCAGTCTCGTGACATTCCTTATCATCATCTTGTCAAATATTTTACATCTACTTATTTTGCTGTGAAGTCTCCTTCAATTTTTAGTCGCATTCGCTTGTCTATTGGAGCTAAAGGGTCAATTTATGTATGTATGTATATATATATACATACATATACATGCATGTATGTATATGGAAGTATGTACATGCTAGAAAACCAACAATGTAATTTGCAGTCCTAAGAGTTTTAATAATCACAATAAAAATATACGAAATGCAAAAACGGGTAAAGCTTTCGCTGCTAAACACCATTGAGCTGTGCTCGCTTTTCATGGCCTCAGGTGCGGCAGTCATCTCTCTGACAGTTTGGCCCAGGGTCACTAAACTGTAAAGGATACTAACACATCTAAAATTTTTATATTATGATTAAAAAAATAGGATAAATTAACATATTGAACACTATAATCACGGTAATGATAATGATGGTAATACTGATATAATATTCGTCCATTATTGTTACTATCATCTACATCAATGGTAATAAGTAAGGTTAGAAAATCGAGCCAAGAGGCCCACACTACCGGAACTTATTGCTGTTTCCGTTGACTGAACCTATCAGTAGCTACTCCTTAGTTGGTCGCAAGGCAATCGAAGAGTAGTTACTACAAG